CACATCCTTCCTTTGGAAGGATTAGTGACTGTATCTAAGAGATAGAACTTTGAGAGAAACAGTCTGTATTATGTTGACTTTCTGTAGGCCACCTTTGGTGTTCAACAGACTGTTTAACATTCAAAATTCTCTCATAATCATTTCTCTGTTGGAGAGTTTGCTTTGAAGAAGCCCTTGAAGATTAAGGATAAAGTTCATTGCCTTGAAGATTGATAGAAGAAGGACCTTGTGCTGTCAAGTTTTGCTGTTTAGAGCTGTTGGAGCTGTTTAGAGCTGTTGATGTATTGTTTGAGTTTCTTGACTGTATTGTTTGTTAATTTTCCCTTGAGATTGAGGTGAAGCTGTTTCACTTCGCTCATTGTTTTCTAGGTTCGAGGTTGAGTGGGACTCCCTTGCCTCGCTTGTACTGTTGCATTCATGCATTTTACTGCTTTACTGTATATATGCTGTTTCTTTTCCGTTTATCCCCTTAGGATCTCTGTTTCTCTCTGCGCAAGAGAGAAATATGACAGACATTAGGTTCTCATCCATGCATGCCAACATTAGGGTAGATTTTGATCCCTTTTCAACCATAGGTTTTAGAGTTGTTGTTTCTCTTCTTTCTCAAAACAATCAGAAAAACACAATAAACATTTCAAACACCATAAAAGACAGTTCTTGCGTAAAAGACTGTAAACCAATCAAAAAACGTCATTTTTGTCCCCTTGGACCCATAATCAGGAGAAAACCTTTTTCAGAAGGAGATAAAAAACTGTCAGACAAGCTTGTGTTTTCCGTAGCCCGAACTACGTTTGCTCTGATCTTTCATGATGTATGAAAGTACGTAGGTATAGGATGCGATATCCTAGCGAGCAACCTTCCCTTCCTTTCCCGTAGGTAGGCGAACTACGTTGACTCTGATTTCTCGTTCCAGACGGGAATACGTAGGCATAAAGTGCGATACTTTGCCGAGTCATTTTATTTTCTTTTAACCCCAGACCTGTAGAATAGATAGAATAACAATCCGTACCAGAAACCAAGCGTGGATCCTGTCGAGTACGACGGACGTGAGGGGTGCTAATACCTTCCCCTTGCGTAACCGACTCCCGAATCCAGGATTTGGTTGCGATGACCATTCCTTTCCCGTCTTTGTGTTAGGTTTACTTCGAGCGTTTCCTTTCCCTCCTTTGGGATAAATAACGCACGATGGCGACTCTTTTGTTCAGCCGGCGCCGATTTTCGCAGTAGCGACAGCTGGCGACTCTGCTGGGGACTCCAACGGTTCCCTACGCGAGTCAATCCTAGCTCTTGTTTTCCCGTCGTGGATTTTGTATGGATTTACGTTTCTGTATTTTACATTCAGCATTATATTATTATTATTATTGCTGTGGGTATGAGGGGGATCTATGATTGAGAGATAAGCCGGACCTGGGCTTGAGTGCACCTAGAATTAGAGTGGAAATTAGTGGGCGTGTGCATGCTTTGCATGTACTAGTGTCTCATGAAATCCACGCTCGGACGAGGTTCTTCTGGTTGACTTCTTTTTCAACCCTTTGGGTTGAGGGGGTTGTTGGTTAGTTGGATTGTCGACTCTGGGGACCGATCATTTGGAAGTTGGCTAAGTGAGGCCTCTTCAGGACATGATGATGCCACACCTTCTGGGTATCGTATCATCAGTCTTGAAAGTCTGTGACGCCAACGACCGCATAGGATGCACTACAACATTTGTTGTCTCTGGCAACACTTTTTTAGGTAACATGTAAAAATTGTTGCCTAAAATTCGTAAAGGCAACAATTTATGGCTGTTGACAAAAATATATTTGCAACCCTTGATAATCGTTGCCTAAAATATTTTTGGGAACGTTTTTAGAGCGTCACTCTTTTATTTTTTTGGCAACGATTGTTAAATGTGCCTTCAACTACTTTTGGGGACGACTTTGGAGAGTCATTATACTATTTCTTTAGCAATGTTTGATAATTGTCCCCTTAAATACTTTTGGGGACATTTTTAAATTGTTACATTACTTCTAATAAAAGGCTACATTCATTCAATGTTGCATAAGATTTTAGCAACATCAAATTTTTGGTGGCAATCTTTCCTCCAAAATTATCCACTAAACAAATATTTTCCTCTAAACATTATTAAAAAAAATTAAATATAAAAAATCATCTAACACATAATATAATAATATAGTAGTATATTGTTATATTATGTGTTAGATAATTTTTTATATTTATTATATCATCTAACACATATCTCACATTTAGAGAAAAATATTTTTTAGATGATTTTTTATATTTAAAATTTGTATTTATTGTTAGAGCTAAATATTTTATAATATTACATACCATAACTATTCATGTGAATAACTTTTATAATAAATTAAATATATTTATAAACTTAAAATTTATTAAATAAAAATAAAAATACTAATTAACTAAAAATGTTAAATATAATAATATAATAGTATATTATTCTATTATATGTTAGATAATTTTTTATATTTATTATATTATGTAACACATATCTCACATTTAAAGAAAAATATTTTTAAATAATTTTTTATATTTAAAATTTTTATTATTATTTAACACATTCCACCATTTATAAGAAAAGTTTTATATAAAAAAATCACTAATAATATATAAAAAATAGAAAATAGAAAAAAGAAAAAAAAAAAAAACAAGTTCATCCACCCCTTATCATCTCCTCTCTGTTTTTCATCTTTCTCTCTCCGCCTTCACGCGAACCCCCTTTCGTTTTCCTTCCCTTTGTTTCACCTTCGCCATCACCGAATTCATCCTCATTCTTCTTCTCCCAACAACAAACCCTAACAGCCGTCATCGTCACCATCCCCGCCTCATAACCCTTGCTCCTCACCATCTATCCTCCTCACTCAATCAAAACCCCAACCTCGTCGCCGCCAACCTCCGACACTGCGAATACTAAGAAAGGGCCACCCTCAAACGCCTTCTAAACCATCGTGGAGACGACAACTCATAGTTCTTCAAACTCACGCACAAGTTCCAGCATCTGCGGCGACAACAGTGGAAATTAATGTTCAATTTGTCTTTTCTTTGTTAGGTGAAAACACATGGAATCGTGATTTAATCGTAACTTATAGTTGATGATTGAGAATTTCTTTTATGTAGATACGAGGATGGAAGGCATGGGAGGCGGAGACTTTGTCTCTTGGATACGATTTTGCGAATGGTAAGCTGCCAATGATGTATATAAGTGTTTTTCTTTGATTACAACAGACTATTACATTTTCAAATGGTGTTACATGCAATTTCATGGCTTTGTTTTTATTTGTTGTGCATTTATCGTGTAGATCCTTCAAGATTCTGGCTTACACACGAAACATCGTTTGTTAGACGACATTTCACTTTTTGGACTAAAAATCCAATCTTCTTCTATATAGTAAGACCAACTTTACTAATATTCAGTTTTTTATGATGAAGAAACATTTAACCATTTCTTCGATTTTGTCAATTTCAGAGTTGCTTCTTTAGACAGTTTTATAGATCTGTTGATAAGCCCGACTATCTGACTCTGCGCAATGGATTTATCGTTGTGAGTCCTACTCCGTAATATACCTTTTAATGTTCAGATTCACGTTCATTTCTTGACGGTGTATCGTGCATGTAGGTTCATTTGTCACCGGGAAGTAAATTTAACTTCCAAAAATATATCAAAAGATCGTTGGAGGATGACTTCAAGGTCGTCATCGGAGTCAGGTAACATCTTTATAATATACATTTGAAACATTACTTTTTATCTTTCTGATGATAACTGATTTGAAATTCATGCTTATCAAGTGTTTTTTTTCCTTCTGTTACCGACAGTCCGGTCCTTTGGGCATCATTTGTTTTTTATTTGCTTCTAGATGTTAATGGTAAGCAACATGTTATCTTTCTCCTCGATCGGTTCCTATCGATTTTACTTTTCTATATTTGAATATTCAATTGGTTAATTCCATATATTTTCAGGATGGCATGCTATAGTTTGGGCATCCTTGATTCCTGTTATTGTAAGTATTCTGTTTTCTCTTAAAAAATTTCATATTGATTTCAATCATGGTTACATTACAATTCAAAATTTGGTTCGTAATTTGAAAACCTTGGTTTGAAATTCAGATAAGTATTATATAAATTATTTAATCGGCTGCAGATAATTTTGATTGTTGGAACAAAACTTCAATCCATTTTGTCAAAGATGGCCATTGAAATCACAGAAAAACATGCAGTTATCCAAGGGATTTCTCTTGTTCAAGGCTCGGACAAATATTTTTGGTTCGGTCGGCCTCAATTAGTTCTTCATCTTATCCATTTCGCTCTATTTCAGGTATTCAACTTCTTAAATACAATCAGTTCAATTTTTTGATTCTTTGTTTATAATTTAATTTACTTATACTTTTCTGTTGCAGAATGCCTTTCAAATAACATATATCTTGTGGATATGGGTATAAGACCATATTTTCACTCTTATAGTCTTTTTGTACTAGATATAATGTAGATTATGATAAATGAATAATAGTTATGATTTATTTATTTATTTATAATTTGCAGTATTCTTTTGGGCGGGAAAATTGTTTCCATGCCGATAAAAGTATTGCAATAGTCAAATTAGCATTAGGGTAAGTTCGATTTGAAATTATCTTTCGTTAAGATAGTTTTAGTGTATGATTGATTTATTACCACTGTAAATTATTCTGATGAACTCTCATGTTGGTTTTGAAGGGCTGGGGTGCTATGTCTTTGCAGCTACATGAACCTTCCACTATATGCTCTTGTTACTCAGGTACTACAAGCTTTCATTTTCTCGAGTTTGTATTACTAATGTTACTAAGATTTTAAGATTGTTGAAGCATTTGCAGATGGGATCAAGAATGAAAAAATCAATATTTGATGAACAAACATCAAGAGCCTTAAACAAATGGCACAATCCTGTGAAAAGGAAGCACGGATTGAAACTAGGAAAGTTGAGTGTGTGAACCATGGATGGAAGCACTTCAACAATGCAGTCTACTAGTACTAGCCCAAGACTACACCGTTACAATACCACGGATCACTTAACTCGCACTGTTTCAACCTATGATGGTGATCAAGATCTTTACCCATCTGATATTGAATTGTCACCGACGTCAACAACATCAAACTTATTGGCAGTACGAGTTGATCCCGTTGAGAAAGTTGAGCAAGATGCAAAAGAAAATGAAGAGCAAAGTGCGGTAGAAATCGTTGAACAACAACCAACGACAAGAGAAGAAAGCTTCTCATTTGTCAGGTCAGATCATCCAAAAGGAAGCGCGAATTGAATAGGAATCAGAGTTACTTTGTTCAACAATTTTTTGTTAGCTTGTTCATATATTATAAATATTGGTATATACTTGAATTACAACGGACTTAGTTATATATTAATTTGAAAATGATGACTTCTGTTAAAATAATAGATAGATGCTATATACAAATAGTAAATGAGCGTGTAGAGAGAAAAATAGAATACAGTGTCGAGAAAAGGTGGAGGAGATAAAAAGTGTAAAAGAAAAAAGTTGTGAATCATTATTTATAGTTACAAGGATTTTCCAAAAATAGAAACCTTTGCTTGAGATATAGAAAAATAGTTAGTGGCAGGAATTTTCAAAATGCCTTCAAGACTAAATATTGATGTTTTCATATGCTGATGCTTCCTTTTCAGCTCTGCTGACATATGGAGTGTGGGTTGTACCGTAATTGAGATGGCCACAGGAAAGCCTCCTTGGAGCCAGCAATACCAGCAAGAGGTAGCTTACATTTTTACTCCTTAAATTCTGTTTGAGGTAATCTCCTCAGCATCAGAACTGCTTCAGGTGATTCTATGAGCATTTCTCTTTTGATTCTGCATATGAGCATTGTAGTCATTTTAGTGCTGCTATTGATTAATAGTGGAGCTACTGGAGTCTACTTTGTTATTGTTTTGCACGAGATAATCAACTTCACCCTGAGATTAACTTTCAGTTTATAATTGGCTGTAGCACCCCTTTGTAACTGGTGAAAATACGGATTCGAATCCTCAGTCATCTATTGACATGGTATGTATAAATCAAGTATTTTTTTGAAATGCTGTTATGTGTATATTTTTTAATTATTAAGTTAAAATTTTATTTTTATGACATTAATTTCACTTCTAACAGGGAAACTTAGAGCTTCTTCATCATCATGTGCTCCAAATGTTGAATCCTTGTAAGTGTTGAAATTTTTGCTTCAATTTGTAAGGTCTGACAGTTTTTTATGTTGCACATGTAAAAAAGCTGTTTTTTTTCTCTCGTACATCATTTGTTGATTCTAGCGAAACGATTAAATTATTCTGGTTAACATATATTAATTCCAATTATGTGTTCTTATATTGCTGATGAATTTACTCACTTCAGAACTCAGAGTATAATCTGTTGTTTGGCAGCAAGCTCATGCAACTTTCTATGGTGGAAGTGATGCCTCAGGAACAATGGGTACATTTCAACTTCCTGTTTATCATCTTTATCATGATAAGTATATAATGATAATAACTTTGTTTTGATTAACTTTTGCAGGTGGTGCATGTGGCTACAGAAATCTGAACATAGATGGATATGGAATAAAAACAGCTGCATTGAGTACTGCTTTGTTTAATGATGGCAAGTCATGTGGTGGCTGCTATCAGATTGTTTGTGATGCAAGAAAGGTCCCTCAATGGTGTCTCAGAGGCACTTCCATTACTATTACTGCTACAAACTTTTGTCCACCAAACTTTGCACAACCAAATAACAACTGATATGAAAACTGATCTATAGAATAGATCTATAGAATAGATGAAAGTGTCTATATTTATATTTTACATGTACGTATTAAGTGTTTATTTTTTCCCACAACAATAATATAGTGGTGTCGCTACTGCGAAAATCGGCGCCGGCTGAACAGAAGAGTCGCCACCGTGCGTTATTTATCCCAACGGAGGGAAAGGAAACGCTCGAAGTAAACCTCGCACAACACAGGAAAGGTATGGTCATCGCAACCAAAACCTGGATTCGGGAGTCGGTTACGCAAGGGGAAGGTATTAGCACCCCTCACGTCCGTCGTACTCGACGGGATCCACGCTTGTTTTCGGGTATGGATTGTTATTCTATCTACGCTAAAGGTCTGGGGTTAAAAGGAAAGAAAAAGAAAATAAAAAATGACTCGGCAAAGTATCGCCCTTTATGCCTACGTATTCCCGTCTGGAACGAGAAATCAGAGTCAACGTAGTTCGCCTACCTACGGGAAAGGAGGGGAAGGTTGCTCGCTAGGATATCGCATCCTATGCCTACGTACTTCCACACAGCATGGAAGATCAGAGCAAACGTAGTTCGGGCCACGTACGACACAGGCTTGTCTTGATTGATTTTATTCCTTCTGAAAAAGGTTTTTCTGATTAACAGTCCCGGCGGACAAAAATGACGGCTTGATGAGTTCACATTCTTTTACGAAAGAAGTGTCTTTTATTGTGTTTGAAATCTTTATTACGTTTTTCTGTTTGTTTTAAGATGAGAAGAGACAGAACTCTATCCTATGGTTGCGAAGGGAATCAAACTAACCTAATGTTATCATGCATGGGTTAAGGCCTAGTGTCTATCATGCTCCTCTCTTGCGCAGAGAGAAACAGAGATCCTACGGGATAGGCAGAAACAGAAACAATAACAGATATCATAAAGCGGTAAAATGCATGGATGCAACAATACAAGCGAGGCAAGGGAGTCCCACTCGACCTCGAACCTGGAAAACAATAGGCAAAAGTGAACAGACTTCACTTTCAACCCAGCAGGGTAAACAGCAAACAATACAGCCAGGAAAACCACACAATACATCATGAATGAAATACAGCAGGAAAACAAACAGCTTCAGCAACTTTGAATCAACATCTGGCTCCAAGTAATCTCCAATCAGCTACAGGCTTCAACAAGCATCAATCTCCATCTTCATGGCCTTCAGGTAAGGGCTTTGATCATCAGTCTACTATCTGCAATGGCTTTTCTTCAAGTTCAAACCTCCAGGATGAGGGATCAGTCACAAGAGTGAATTGGGTGTTAAGCAATCAGTTGACTACCAAAGGTGGTGAACAGACTGCTTCTAACACATATGACATTTTCTCTCAAGTGTTCTATCTCTTAGACACTATCACCAAGCCTTCCAAAGGAAGGGGGTGAGTGTCTTAGAGAGACTCTGTATCACAGAGAAGAATGGATGCAGACAAGGCAATCCATGTTTGAGAAACAAACTTTTTAATCTTGAGCTCTGCCTAACTCCTAAACCCTAGTCTCCTCAGCATCTGCTAGCAAGAATCTCCTCTTCAACTCTGGAAGTTGGACTTCAACATCTGGATCTCCAATGGCTTCCTCTCCTCAAGTCTTCAGCTCTCCCAAATCCCCAGACAATCCCAATACCCACACAGACAAGCAATAATCCCCAGAGGGCACACCACACCAGTCAATCAGATATATACAATACATTAATAGCTGTAGGGGAATCCTGACTTTTTCTAAGGGGATCTAATAACTACCCATAGCCCCTATAGTCCCATAGCTAACCTATTCAATCTCTAAGTCCTAAGGGAAGTGAATTAATTCTCCTAAGTCATCACCTAAAACCCTAGTTTGTTCATGTTATTCTCACCTAAACCTAAAACCTAAAATTAATTTCTAAAAAATGGGAACTAAATTGTATCTACAAGTTTAATGTCTAAACTAAACAACCTAAAAAGAATGGGTGAAAAATATTAAAGCAATTGATAGAACAAAAATTAACAAAATCATGTATGAAATGAAACCATTTAAAATGCTATTTATTTGGAAAATATGGGAAAAATATCAAATAAAAAATAAAATGCAATTTTTATTTTTTATAATTTTCTTGACTTTTTAAAGAAAATGTTAAAAAAAGAATGAATTGAAAATATGCAATTTCTGATTTATTATGAATTTTCAAAAATGAATGAAAATAAAAAGGAAATTGAAAAAGAAAATAGAAAGAAATAAAGGGAGGGGGTGAGAAAAGCAAGAAGATCAGGTTCAACGCGTTGGGCCCATCAAATTGGGGGGTGCGAATAGCTATCTGAGCCCAAGTCCCTCTATTAAATTAAACGGCGCGTTTCAATGTTTAAAATTTCCCCCCAAATCTCAGGTTGAATATGGAGCGTCCGATTCTTGGTCAGGTCAAAGTCTTCCCTCCAATCCAACGGCCATTGTACCTTCTTCTTCCTCCAGCCACTTAGGGTTTCAGAAAACGAACCCCATGCAAGCACCTTCCATCTCCTCGTGCTCTCTCCATCCGCCATGAAATCATGAGATTCAAAAACCAAAAATGCTCTAAAACTTTCCCTCTACACATCCATGGTGTTGCCTCCTTCTAAAACTCAGCCTATACATCAATTCGATAGGTATAACAGTTGGGATTCAATTTTTGCACCTGTGATCAACTCAACCAAACCTTGCCAATTTTCATCCTAATGCGCTCACCACATTGTACTGATTATTCTGAGCTCATCTTTCATGATTATCATCCCCTAAACTAGGTTTTCTTGCTCATCCAAGTTCCACCACTCTTCCACCAAACTCCATATAACTCTCCCTAAGTTTCAAGAATTAATCTCCTATGGTTTCTAAGCACTCCTATCCTAACCACATGATCTACAACAGCCTAAATGATGAGATTCGAAGAGTTTTGCATACCTTGCAAGTGATGATGGCAATGGTGGTTAGACTCCAACTCAAGCCTTGATACTTGCTGAAAGTGATCTTCAATGAGTGTGTGTGCTTCTGTTTGCAATGGTTCTTGTTCAATATTTGTGAATCACTCTATTCCACTCTTCATGCAAGTTGGAGTTTGAACTTGGATCTCCTTTTCCAGCCACGAATTCCTTCCACTTTCCTTTGCCAAACACTCTAGGATGATGGTGGATGATGATGATAACAGAAATTGGAATGGTAGATGAAGCTTTAATGGAGTTTGGATAGAAAATGCAAATTGGCAAAAGATGATGAATGGTACAATTCTTGATCAATTCAGCCAATTCTTGATGTGAATCATAGTGTTTGAATGATGATGATGAAGATTCAATCAACAAATGTGAGAATTGAGGGAGATTATGGAGAGTTTGTGAAGCTTATGCAAGTTGAAGAAAGTGTGGAAAATTTGGGGTTTTTAACAAATGGAATCACCAACCATGGCATGAAGCTCTTCATATCAATATATACATGGGTTTAGAAACTCCTAGAACCTTGGAGAAGTTTCCCTTGCATTTTTCCCTTGAAATTGGTTTATGTTTCTT